CTTTTAGAATAGAATTCTCAGAAAGAGATTCAGAATTAATGATTCCAAACAAACAAAACAACTATATTAAGAATGTATACAGTATACTAGCGTACAAGTATCAGAGAATCAGAGCAACTTATGAATGCATCAAAAAATACTAAAATTTACCAGATCTTAGGAAAAGAATTGAAAGCATTCTATAACAATGCAATAGCTGTAAGAAGAATAAAGCAGAAAGATATAAGCTTTACAAACTACTGCATTTCTTATCAGTATCTATAACTATTTAGCAATTCATTAGTTTAGATTTTATTATCAAGCTATCTCTCTTATAAGAATTCTTAATTAAAGTATAATATAATAGCATTCTAGTAATGATTTGCAGACTGAGCAAGTATGCTTATTTTCTCTTTTATAAGAAAAGCAGTACAGCAGAGAAACTCGCATATGCATTCCTCAGAATGATTATTGCTAACTATAGCATGCTAGAGAAAGTAATCTCCAATAGAAACAGAAAGTTTAACTCAAAGTTTTGAACTTCGCTTATAAAACAACTCGGAATATACTACAGAATATCTACAGCATTTCATTCACAAACAAATAAACAGATGGAAAGAATGAATCAAGTTATTAAATAATACCTACAATATTATATTAACTAGGAATAGAATAACTGGATTAATCTATTACTTCTTATATAATTTGCTTATAATAGTATAGATATAAGCATAATGAAAAAGTTATTATTCTTTACGCTCTACAAATACAACTCAACAGCTTATTATGAAGCATTGCAAGGAGCAGATGCAGAAGCTGCAGATAAAAGAGTTAAGAAGATTAAGAAAGTTTAGAAAGAATTCTAATCAGAATTATAATTCGTTCAAGAACGAATGATGCAGTATGCAAATTCCAAAAGAATTGAGAAACTAATCCTATAGAAGGGAGATAAGGTTTATCTATTTCGAAAAAATATTAAAATAATCAGACCAAGCAACAAACTTAACTATAAGAAGTTAGAATTATTCAAAATCTTGCAACAGATTTCTCCAGTTAATTATGAGTTAGCATTATCTTATGGAATGAGAATACACTCAGTTTTCCATATTTTACTATTGGAATCAGCAGTACAGGAAATATTAATAGATAATATAGCAGAAGTGGAAAACAATGAATCAGAGTATGAGGTAGAGAAGATTCTCAAGTATAGAAGCACAGACAATACAAGAGAATATCTTATTAAATGGAAAGATTATCCAGCAAGCGAAAATTCATGAGAACCACAGAAAAACGTTAAGAATGCTCAAAAAAGAGTAGCTAAGTATTGGAAAAGGAAGGAAACCAGTATCTAAGATGATTGCTCCGCCTTGGAGCGAGATCCAAAAGCTTCAGAGATCTCGCTCTTCAGAAAATCTAATCAATCCATCACTGCATTCCCTACATTCACAGAATTCTAGTTAAAATCCTCAAAAGAAGAATTCCCAGCAACTACAGCAGACTTCTCTGCAACTACAGAACGAACTTCAGCAGCAATGCAAGCCCGCTCCTCTGCCTTCACTCTTTCCAACTCCTTCACATTATCAATATCTCAACGAATAGCATGCATTATCTTTTCGTATCATATTCTTTTCTGCTTATACAGCCTAAGAAGTTTAGCATTCAGCTCAGCAGCCTTCTCTTCGATTGCTTTCATCTCTGCCTTCAGGTAGTAGTATTGAGTAGTTATATGATTTAATTGTATAGATGTTAGGCTACGAATATCGCAATTCGACAAACTCAAATGTATGTAGGTTTGATAACGGGAAGATTCGGATTCAGCAATCTTGCACTCAGCTGAAAGATTGTGATCTTCGCAGTATGAGCAAGGCATGGACGAAAGAGAACTGAAGATAGCTACAGTAGAAAGAAGGAACAACTTCTGCAAAGAATGAGAATAAGATTTAGCAATATAACGAGAACTGATTCTGTTCGATATCTCGATTAGGAAGGCAAGATTATGGACGAAAGATTTGCTAGGATACTTACGAAAGATCGTTGGAAACAACGACTGATAGGAGGGAGATGATGTTATGATTCATCCAACATGCAGATTACAGAACAGATCATGAGTAACAGAGACCAGGTGTCAAGGATTCAACGTTCTGATAAGGCATTGATTACATAACCCAGGGTTAGGGTTACTATTGGATAGATACAATCAACGTTTATCCTGTTAATGAGGGAATCGATGGAGTCGATATCGATTCTGTTTATCCGAACTGAAGAACTAAGTATATGAAGGTTTACATTTCCTACTGTTAGATGGATTTCCTTCAGATAGTTCTTCAGTTGTTAATCTAAGTATTCAGTCTTCTATACTGAGTAGCTTCAAAGGCAGTGAACACTTGCATTGCTTATTAAGACTTGTACGGTTCTGTATTCAAGGTCTTGATACTTCGATACTGCTCTTGTTAGCATAAACCTTCTTGTATACTTAGGAATCTTCGGATTGCTGCAGTGCTCATTACACTAATTCAAGAATTCTCATCTTATTATACTTCAATGTCTTACAAGGGAATGCAGATGAAAAGCTCTTCTAATCCTATCCTATAAACAAGATATTTAATTCATATTGTTTTCTTATTTCATTCAATGCTAAAGGAAAGCTTTTCTATAAGCTTCTTAGGTTTATTGTTTATAGGAGACTTCAGTAAGTTATTAGATTATTCATTCTAGCTTAATCTTTCTATTGCTTGAGAAGCATTTTCAGTATTATTTAGATATTTATACCAATAACTAAGAAGATATCATTCTTTATTCATATTTCTAATTATAATGCTTAGCATAAGTAATAAGAAATGATAAAGAGTATTATTGCTAAGCTCTTCTTTCAACGCTTAAATGCTTTATTTCACGATATTAGAGCAATCCAAGTTGCTATTTATAAGGATACTGAGCATATATCCTTCTTCTGCTATTGCTATTTATCTGCAGCGCTTAGATTTCTGAGGAAATCATTCTGAATCTTTCTTACTCGAGAGATATATTAAGCAGTTATCGTTGTAGCAGAATATTCAGCTAAAACTTCCGTAATTAACAGAGTTCGATACTTGTTCCGAAAAAGTATTTTTGCTTAGTTAATTGAGTTTCTGTTATTAAGCAATATTTATCTAGCATTTTTTCTAAACTAATTACTATTTATTCTTCTGAAATTAATAGCAGTTGTATGCAATATATTCTTATTTGTTACAATTATAGCAAGTAATGCTATTTCTTTTACTATACTGCTTATTAGCTATATTGAGCTTTATAGAATCAGCATGCATAGTACTGCTCTAAGCTATATTGCTATATTAATTGCTATTCTTATTTTGAAATTTCTTATCTATATTAGCTGAAAATCTTCAAATCTAGCTTCCTTTCTTCTTAAATTTCTCTATCTATTATTCATACAAACAGTTATTAATACAGATAGCTTGATTAGAGAATATTGCAAAGTTCTCCAGCTAATCCTGCTTAGAGATTTCATCTTTAATATCATCCTTAAATCCCTTGTAATAGTATTTTATAAGATTTTTATCTTTCTATAGGAATTGTGCTGAGAGTTGTTTGAATCTAATTATATAAGCAGAAGCTGATTTAATCTGCTTGAGATTTATAAGCTATTAAGCTGTAATACATTCTTTGTTAGGATTATCAAAGATTTCTTTGAAAGCTTTCTCAAAGCTTTCAAAGGAATCAAATATATTCTTAGTACTTTGGGTATATACGTTGGGATTGTTCTAATGCTCTAAGTAGTTGTATAGAGAAGGCTTGTATCAAATGAGAGCATTCTTTTCAAAACAAGTCTCTGCAAGAATAATCTTCTTAGATTTCTTAGCAAACTGGATTTTGTAATACAGAAAATATATTCTGCAGTAGATAAGGAATTCATGCAGCATCTTTTGGTTGCTATTATACATAGCAAGCTTATTCATCTTATATGCTTTTTCAGCACTACTAGTAACTGCAAAGATAGACTGCGCCTGCTGAGCTTATTGAGCCTGTTAAGCTAGCTGAGCTTGTTGATTAGCGATAGTAGCGCTCTAAGCCTGCTATTGTTCGTGCAAGTTCTGAATACGCTGAATAAGCTGGTATATCTGATTAATCAGTTTCTTCTGAGTAGGGGCGTGCAAGAACGAGAGGATTTCTGGAGAAGCTATTGTATTCCGTATTGCTTAAGAGAGTAATACTGAACTGTTTTTAAACAAAAGTTATCAAAATGTAATAAGCACTGCAGTAATCCGAAGATTTCTAAGTATATGAAGAAGTTTATGCTAACAAGAGCAGTGCTAAGTACAAGCCTTGATATTATAACCCATTCAACATGCAGGTCACAAAACAGGCCCCGCCAACAAGGAACCAGGTGTCACGACCCAACATCGGACAACCACTGGAAATTACATAAGCAAGGGTTAGGGTTGGATTACAACAGAACAAGTGAGCCACTCACTGGATTACTGCAACGCGGATCATGGATCACAGTGAGCCAGATGAGCTACAATGAAAAGCTGGATATATAAGAATACGTTCATTATTATTAGATGGATTCAGTATATAGCTCTTCAGTTGTGAATCTAAGTATTCAGTCTTCTATACTAAGTAGCTCCAAAGGCAGTGAATACTTGCATTGCTTATTAGAACTTGTATAGTTCTGTATTCAAGGATTTGATACTTTGATACTGCTCTTATTAGCATAAATCCCTTCGTATACTTAGGAATCTTCGGATTGCTGCAGTGCTTATTACATTTTTACAATTCTTGTTCAAGAACAGTTTAGTATTATCTCTTGAGCAATACGGAATACGATAGCTTCTCCAGGAATCTCTTCGTTCTCGTGCGCTTTTACTCAGGAAGAATTGATTAACTAGGTATATCAGCTTATTCAGCATATTCAGGATCTGTACGAATAACAGCAGGCTCAGAGCGCTACTATTGCTAACTAACAGGCTCAGCTAGCTTAGCAGGCTCAGCAGGCCCAGCTAGCTTAGCAGGCTCAACAGGCGCAGTCCACCTCTATAGCTACTAATGGTGCTGAAAAGGCATACAAGATGAATAAGCTCGCCATATATAACAGCAACCAGAAAACGCTGCATGAATTCCTTATACACTGCAGAGTGTATTTTCTGCATTACAAGACTCAGTTTATCAAGGAATCTGAGAAAGTTATTCTTACAGAGACTTATCTTGAAAAGAATGCTCTTATCTGGTACAAGCTTTTTCTATACAATTACTTGGAGCATCAGAATAATCTCGGCGTATGTATCTAGGGTACTAAGGATATATTCGATTTCTTTGAAAGCTTCGAGAAGGCTCTTAAAGAGATCTTTGGTGATTCCAACGAAGAATGCATTACAGCTTAGCAGCTCATGAATCTCAGATAGATTAAGTTAGCTTCTGCTTATACAGTTAGATTCAAATAGCTCTTAGTAAGATTTCTATAGAAAAATAAGAATCTCATGAAATATTATTACAAGAGATTCAAGGATGATATTAAGAATGAAATTTTCAAACAGGATTAGCTAGAGAACTTTGCAATGTTCTCCAATCAAGCTATCTGCATCGATAACTGTTTGTATGAATAATGGGTAGAGAAGTCCAAGAAGGAAGGAAGCTAGACTTGGAGATTTCCAGCTAATATAAGCAAAAAACTCCAAAGCAAGAATGGCGGTTGATATGGCAGTATGATGCAGAGCAGCACTACGCATGCTGGTTCCATGGAGCTTAATGCAGCTAATAGGCAGTATAACAAGAGGAATAATGTTACTTGCTATAACTGCAATAAACAAGAATATATTGTATGCAACTGCTATCAATCCCGGAAGAACAAATAGCAACTAGTTCAGGAAGAATGCCAGATGAATATCGCTTGATAATAGAAACCTAATCAACTAAGCAAAAACACTTTCTTAGAGCAAGTATTGGATTCTATTGATTACAGAAGTCTCAGCTGAATATTCTGTTATAATAACAACTGCTTAATATATCTCTTGAGTAAGGAAGATTCAGAATAGTTTTCTCAGAAACCGAGGCGCTACAGATAAATAGCAATAGCAGGGTGAGAGTGTACTCCTAGCACTCTTACGAGTAGCAACTCGGACTGCTCTGATATTGTAGAATAGAGCATTCAGATGTTGGAAGAAGGGCTTAGCAATGATATCTTTCAATGTTCTTCATTGCTTATGCTAAGCACTATGATTAGGGATATGGATAAGGGATGGTATTCTCTTGGCTACTGGTATGAACAACTAGGCGATATAGAGAATGCTTCTTAAGCAACAGAAGGATTAAGCTAGAGCAAACAATCTAGCAGCTTGCAGAAGCTTCCTGCGAACAATACGCCCAACAAGCTTAAAGGAAGGTTTCTCTTTAGCATTGGGTGGAACAAGGAAATAATATGAATCGAATATCTTATCTATGGAATAGAGCTGAAAAAGCTCTTTACTTGCATTCTCTTGCAAAATATTAAGATATAGCAAGATAAGGATTCTCGGATTAGCTTACTTTACAATCTATACTATAAACTAGCATAGATCTCTTATACTTATTATAGCTGCAGAATACATTTCTCAGATAAGGTGCAATATGAATAGTTCTCCGTTAGAGAATCAGAACAAATTCTTCAGGCTATTGAAGAATAGGAACTCCGCTTCAGGGAGGTTCTCAACAGGTAATATCACAATGCATACATCGGGCTACTGAATGATTGCCCCATGCAATGCGTAGATAAAAAGATAAAGTAATAGCAGTGCAAAATGATACTCTGCACGATTTATATCAATAATAAGATTTGCAACTAGCATTAATAGAAGAAAGATTAGGAATAACGGCGATATGAGCAAAAGCAAGCTAAGAAGCTTGCTTATGAAGCAGCAAAGCAGGCTTAGAAGGACAAGCAGTTCTTAATAAACTCAAAAGAATAGGATTGCTTGTAAAGGAATTGCAGATAATCAGATTGGAACAGTTCCTATATAGAGCTTTTAAGACAGATTATGCTTATATCAAATTCGATATATATATTCAAGGATATAAATACAGCGCACTATTGGATAGTAGCGCTCAGGGAAACTTCATATTCCCATATATTATCAATCAGATATAATTACAATGGAAATGAAAGAGATGCTTATATACTCTCAGTACTATAGAAGGATAACTTGTTGCATACAACTAAGAAGTAATCGATAAGAAAACTGATCATTTATCTATTTTAATCTAAGAATGTATAATCAGAGCCTTCTTTGATATTACAAATACAGCATAGCATGAGCTAATAATAGAGCTTTCATAGCTCAAGGAGCACAATCCTCGAATCGATTGGATTACTAGCTAGATCTCATGAGAACAAGCTGTACCTAGAGAGATAATTACAATCAATAGCGCAGGATCGAAGCTAATGATTGAAGAATACTCAAGAAAAGAAGCTTTACACAACTTCTTACATACTTTCAAGTCAGCAGAGCTAGCAGTTTAGAGAGAAGAATCTAGTAATAGGCAAACTCAAACAGTGCTAGAGTGCTAATAGGTTAGCAAAACAATGGAAGCGAGACTCTCAGCAAATCAGTTCATCCCGGAGCAACAAGGAAAAGCTTTAGAAAGTGGATTGTGGATCTATACAGGAAAAATCTCGAAACCAAGCTCTCGAGCATCCGCTCCGGCTCGGAGCGAATGCTCAAGGCTCTCAAAAACGTTACCAAAAACAACAAACGAAAAGAAGCATGCTTAACAGTACCTATTATTCCTCCAGATAGCAGAAACAGCATAAGGATTAGAACTAACACTTGCGAATATACTACAAGAATATTATAAGTTTAAGAAACTGTTTCAGGAAGAATTAGATACAGGATTATCAGAATACAGTCTATACAACTATAAGATTCCGCTACAAGAAGGAAAACAGCCTAAATTCTTCCCTATCTACGAGCTAGACAAAGTATAACTAGAAGCACTTAGGAAGTATCTCAATAAGAATCTCAAAAAGGGATATATATGATCATTGCAATTACTAGCAGAATACCTCATCCTATTCATATCTAAGAAGAATAGCAAGCTTAAGCTATGTATTGATTATAGGCAACTTAATGATATTATGATCAAGAATCGATACTTATTGCTACTTATTAAGGAACTATAAGACAGGTTGCAAGAAGTATAGTAGTTTACAGTTCTGAATCTAAAAGAAGCTTATAACCTGATTAGAATAAAGGAAGAAGAAGAATGGAAAACTGCTTTCAGAATATGCTATAAATACTACGAATATTTGGTTATGCTCTTTAGTCTAACGAATGCTCCGGCTTTGTTTCAGGAAATAATCAATTATATTCTATACGAACATCTGGATCAGTTCGTCATCGCCTATCTCGATGATATTCTTATTTACTCTTGAATACTGGAAGAATATAAGAAATACGTAGAAACAGTATTGTAAACGTTCTAAGATGCGAAACTTCTTATGGAATCTGCAAAGAGTTACTTTCACGTACAGAAAGTTGACTATCTCGGATTTACAATCGAGCTAGAATGCATCAAGCTATAGAAAGATAAGGTAGAAGTAGTTAGGAACTAGCTAGTCCTTAGGAATGTTAGGAATGTTAAGTCTTTTCTCGGATACGTTAACTTCTACAGGTAGTTCATTAAGAACTACAGCTGGATTGCATATTCTCTTACAAATCTTACTAAAAAGGAGTAGCTCTTCGAATGAATCTCCAAGGTATAAGAAGCTTTTGATGAGATTATCAAGTACGTTATTTTAGAGCTAGTTCTGTATGAAGCAAACTCCTACAAACTCTTTGAAATTGAAACTGATGCATCGGGATATGCATTCGGAGGACAACTTGGCTAGCGAGACGACTAAGGATGTCTAAGGATTGTAAGCAACTTCTCAAAGAAGTTGAATAGCTCGGAAATCAACTACGGAATCCCTGATTAGGAATTCATGGCAATAATGAAAGCCTTCGAGGAATAGCAATACTATTTCATTGGTGCATAATATCCGATCATAGTTCACTCGGATTATAAGAATCTAATCATGTTTATGATAACTAAGGTTTTGAATAAGCAATAAGTTAGATAAGCAGAATTCCTCTTATAGTTCGATTTCAAGATTGTGCACTGCAAAAGCTTGGAGAATGGACAAGCAGATGCTTTCAGCAGAAGATTAGATTATTGAGATGCAGATTTCTCGGATATATAGAATATCTTCGCCCAAGATGAGTCAGGAAATCTTATCAATGCACATAGAGAACTGAATGCTGCTCTCAGAATCAAACCCTTGGAAAGAAATCCAGAATCAATAACTCTGAACGAATAAGATAACTATATCAAGAATGTATACAGTATATTAGCATATGAGCATTAGAGAGTTAAAGCAACCTATGAATGCATCAAAAGATACTGGAATCCACCAGATCTTAGAAAAAGGATTGAGAACATCTTACAATAATGCGATAGCTGCAAGAAGAATAAGATAGAAAAATACAAGCTTTACGAACTACTGCATTCTTTACTAATACTTACAACTATTTAGCAATTCATTAGTCTAGATTTTATTATTAAGCTACTTCTCTTATGAGAACTCTTAACTAAGGTGCAATATGATAGTATTCTAGTAGTGGTTTGTAAACTGAGCAAGTATGCTTATTTTCTTTCCTACAAGAAAAGCAGTACAGCAGAGGAATTTGTATATGCATTCCTCAGAATGATCATTGCTAACTACAGCACGCTAGAAGAAGTAATCTCTGATAGAGATAGAAAGTTCAACTCAAAGTTTTGGACTTTACTTATAAAACAGCTTGGAATACATCACAGAATGTTCACAGCATTTCATCTGCAAATAGATGAACAGATGGAAAGAATGAATCAAGTTATTGAATAATACTTATAATATTATATCAACCAGGAATAGGATAACTGGATTGATCTGTTGCTTCTTGCACAGTTTGCTTATAATAATGCAGATATAAGTATAATGAAGAAGTTACTATTCTTCGTACTCTATGGATACAATCTAATAGCTTATTACGAAACATTGCTAGAAGCAGATGCAGAAGTAGCAGATAAAAGGATTAAGAAGATCAAGAAAGTTTAGAAGGAATTCCGATTAGAATTATAATTCGTTCAAGAACGAATGATGCGGTATGCAAACTCCAAAAGGATTGAGGGACTAATCCTACAGGAGGAAGATAAAGTATACTTACTTTGGAAAAATATCAAAACGACTAGGCTTAGCGATAAACTTGATTATAAAAAACTGGGATTCTTCAAAATCTTATAACAAATCTTCCTAATTAATTACGAGTTAGCATTACTTCATGAGATGAGAATACATCCAGTCTTTCACATTTTATTGCTGGAATCAGCAGCATAGGAAATATTAATAGATAATACAGCAGAAGTGGAAAACAATGAACCAGAGTATAAGGTAGAGAAGATTCTCAAGCATAGAAGTATGAACAATACAAGGGAATATCTCGTTAAATGGAAGGGATACTCAGCAAGCGAAAATTCTTGAGAACTGCAGAAAAATGTTAAAAATGCTTAGGAAAAGGTAGCTGGATATTGGAAGAAGAAAATCAGTATCTAAAACGATTGCTCTGCCCCGAACCGAGATCTAGAAGCTCTAGGAACCTCATTCCCCAAAATACTGTTCCAATCCACCACGTCGAGAGCACCCCAAGACTGAGCCTCGGCTATAGCCTCAGATTCGGCAGCACGCTGAGCATCCTCCTCCCGACGCTCCTTCTCCTCCAACTCGTTCAGAGAACGCAGATCCTGACTAACCATCTTCGCGCTACGATTACGCAGAGAACGTTTCTGTTTCCGCAAACGCATCAAGCAGGCTATTGCCTTATCCAATTTGGACTAAAGCTCGAGAAGAACTTCCTCTGCATCTAATTCCTCCCGATCTAAGCAACCAAGTTCGGTAGTAATACGAGATACTATTATAAGAATCAGAAAGCGAACAAGGAAAAACTCAGGAAAGGGGCAAACCCACAAGCATTTACCGGAATACCGGAACCATCGCAGGAACGACCCCGATGAACACAACAGGAATACTGCTTAGTATCTTCCATCATCTTATACTCCAACCCCTTCAATATACAGAAAGAATAAAGTATAACTTCGAAATCTTGAAGATTGATAGTTAGAGAAAGCTGAAGACGTTGTTCGGATTTTCGAGAAAGGGATTTTTCGATTCTGTTCGATATCTCAATTAGGAAAGCATGATCAGGCCTACAAACAGCTTGCTAGGAAACTTACAGAAGAACGTTGAGAATAACTACTAATAGGAGGGAGATGATATTATAATCTATTCAACATGCAGATCACGAAACAGGCTCTGCCAACAAGGAACCAGGTATTACAACCCAACATCGGATAACCACCGGAAATTATATAAGCAAGGGTTAGGATTGGATTACGACAGAACAAGTGAGCCACTCACTGGATCACTGCGACGCGGATCACGGATCACGATAAGCCAGGTAAGCCACGATGAAGAGCTGGATATATAAGAACACGTTCATTATCATTAGATGGATTCAGTACATAGCTCTTCAGTTGTGAATCTAAGTATTCAGTCTTCTATACTGAGTAGCCCCAAAGGCAGTGAACACTTGCATCGCTTATTAGGACTTGTACGGTTTCGTATTCAAGGACTTGATACTTTGATACTGCTCTTGTTAGCATAAACCTCTTCGTGTACTTAGGAATCTTCGGATTGCTGCAGTGCTCATTACACTTGAATACGGAAACACAACTGAGGTAATTGTATAAGTATTTACTGCCTTTGGAGCTATTAGAGTAGAAAAGTAATCTGATACTTAGATTAATAATTGAAAAGCTATGTATGATGATCTGTTTAATAGTAATGAATATGTAGTTATATATTCAGCTCTTCAGTGTAGCTTGCTGATGCTCACTGAGGCTCACTGCTGCTCAGTGGTGCTCACTGAGGCTCGGTGAGCACAGGTGAGCTCTTCTGATTGGTTGGCCTGTAACCCTAACCCTGGGTTACATAATTCCTGTGGGTTGTCTGACGTTGCGTCATAACACCTGGTCCTTGTTTGCCTGTGACCTGTTTTCGTGACCTGCATGTTGGATGGGTTATAACACATGAGCTCCATGAAACTTTGACTTACAGCTATAGCACTTATGCAGAGTTCCATCCTTCTTCAGAATTTCATTAATCTCCACTCGCTATGCTTCAGAATACTGCTTCCCCTCATCCTCCGAACTTATATAGATAATACCTATCTGCAAGAAATTTGCATTTCCCTGGAAAGAATTTCTTGCAGAAACAGTTTGGAAACGCTTAATCAGTTATAAGATCTTCTGTAGAGCTTTAGTTTAGTTATACAAAACATTCTGCATCTATCTGAGAGTATTAGTCTGCAGCTTTAAGAATTTTGCTATTGTAATTTGATTAATGCGGAGTTGCTCCATTATTGAAGCCAACTGATTATATTCTTGATTGCTCTTCTAAGCAGATTCAGCTTTCAAAATCTGCTTAATCAGTTCAAGCTAAGCTTGCTAATCACGAATTAACTATTAAAGCGGTTAATAATATAATAGCTGTCAGGTGGAAAGGTTGCAAAGGCAATGTGGCGAGATCTTTCTCTCTTTCAGGGGCATACAACCAGAATAACATTGAGGCCTAAGGAGCTAAGTTCTGCTCAGCAGTGCTGATGTGGCTAGAAAGCCGCTTTATAGCCGCATATTGCTTAGTCATCCGTAATCCAGCTGGCTTAGCTGGCTCTGAGCCTTGCTGGCACAATCGGCCCTGACAGATTGTCCCCCCTTATCAGGCCTTGTCCTCAAGGCCTTTGAGGCTTCCAAGCTTTCGTTGCTTCCAGGCTTCCGTTGCTCCCAGGCTTCCGTTGCTTCCAGGCTTTCGCTGCTTCCTAGCTGCTCCTACGCCTTCTCAATGCTTCAGGCTCTTAAGATCTCTCAGTGCTTCAGGCTTCTCAAAGCTTCTCAAGATCCCTCAGTGCCTCAGGTTTCTCAAAGCCTCTCAAGATCTCTCAGTGCTTCAGGCCTCTCAAGGCCTCTCAAGGTCTCTCAGTGCCTCAGGCCTCTCAAGGCCTCTCAAGGTCCCTCAGTGCCTCAGGCCTCTCAAGGCTTCTCAAGATCTCTCAGTGCTTCAGGCCTCTCAAGGCCTCTCAAGGCCTCGCAGTGCCTCAGGCCTCTCAAGGCCTCTCAAGGTCTCTCAGTGCCTCAGGCCTCTCAAGGCTTCTCAAGATCTCTCAGTGCCTCAGGTTTCTCAAGGCCTCTCAAGATCTCTCAGTGCCTCAGGCTTCTCAAGGCTTCTCAAGATCTCTCAGTGCCTCAGGCCTCTCAAGGCTTCTCAAGATCTCTCAGTGCCTCAGGTTTCTCAAGGCCTCTCAAGATCTCTCAGTGCCTCAGGCCTCTCAAGGCCTCTCAAGATCTCTCAGTGCCTCAGGCTTCTAGGTCACTCAAGGTCTCTCAAGGTCTCTCAGTGCCTCAGGCCTCTCAAGGCTTCTCAAGATCTCTCAGTGCCTCAGGCTTCTCAAGGCCTCTCAAGATCTCTCAGTGCCTCAGGCCTCTCAAGGCCTCTCAAGATCTCTCAGTGCCTCAGGCCTCTCAAGGCCTCTCAAGATCTCTCAGTGCCTCAGGCTTCTAGGTCACTCAAGGTCTCTCAAGGTCTCTCAATGCCTCAGGCCTCTCAACCATCTCCCTCCTTCTCTTCTGGCTTCGTCCCCGAAGCCTGTGAAAAAAAAATCTCTTTTTAATCACATTCCAGACGTAAGTCTTCCGAGTGCAATACCCGCGCCATATATGCTGCTCAATCGCTGCTCCCTCAGCGCTTTATCCAGGCACTCTTCAGAACTTAAAGCTGTTTGATGTAGGTTGCAAGCCTTTCATCAGGGACTTAGTTTGCAGCCAAGGAGCCCAGCATCCAGAACAGCATTCCTGCAGCTATAACGGATAATTACAGCTTTCCGTCTTGAGAGTTGCTCTCTAGCAACTCTGAAGCCGTTGCTACACTTCGCTCTACTGCTAGGCGCAGAAGGGTAATTGGTTTGCAATCTAATACCCAAGCAACTTCAGTTGCTAAGCAGACACTCCGCTTCAGCTCTGCGCTCTCGCTCGAATAGCGAAGAGCATACTTTCAAAAACAGAAGATACTCAGATCTACTGCTTGCTTACTCTGCTCTCTCGCTCGAATAGCGAAGAACACACTCTCGAAAACAGAAGATACTCAGATCTACTGCTTGCTCACTCTGCTCTCTTGCTCGAATAGCGAAGAATACACTTTCGAAAACAGAAGATACTCAGATCTACTGCTTGCTTACTCTGCTCTCTCGCTCGAATAGCGAAGAACACACTTTGTTCTAGCTTAGCAACTCGAATGCTTTGAATCTCTTCTGAACGCTTCTCGCACGCTGCTTGCATACTGCTTGCTCGCTATTTGCTCTAGCTTAGCGACTCGAATGCTCTGAATCTCTTCTGAACGCTTCTCGCACGCTGCTTGCATACTGCTTGCTCAACACTGCTTGCTCACTGTATGCTCTAGCTTAGCGACTCGAATGCTCTGAATCTCTTCTGAACGCTTCTCGCACGCTGCTTGCATACTGCTTGCTCGCTGTTTGCTCTAGCTTAGCGACTCGAATGCTCTGAATCTCTTCTGAACGCTTCTCGCACGCTGCTTGCATACTGCTTGCTCGCTGTTTGCTCTAGCTTAGCGATTCGAATGCTCTGAATCTCTTCTGAACGCTTCTCGCATGCTGCTTGCATACTGCTTGCTCGATACTGCTTGCTCGCTGTATGCTCTAGCTTAGCGATTCGAATGCTCTGAATCTCTTCTGAACGCTTCTCGCACGCTGCTTGCATACTGCTTGCTCGCTGTTTGCTCTAGCTTAGCGACTCGAATGCTCTGAATCTCTTCTGAACGCTTCTCGCACGCTGCTTGCATACTGCTTGCTCGCTGTTTGCTCTAGCTTAGCGACTCGAATGCTCTGAATCTCTTCTGAACGCTTCTCGCACGCTGCTTGCATACTGCTTGCTCGACACTGCTTGCTCGCTGTATGCTCTAGCTTAGCGACTCGAATGCTCTGAATCTCTTCTGAACGCTTCTTGCACGCTGCTTGCATACTGCTTGCTCGGCACTGCTTGCTCGCTGTATTCAAGGCTCGAAAGCTCGAAAATCGAAGGCTCGAAGGTTAAAGGCTCGAAGGTCAAAGGCTCGAAGGTTCGAAAAGGATAGTGGTCTGATCGTTTGCTCTGCTCCTGCTCAGTGTTAGCGCTGCTCCTAGGGAAAAAAAAGATAGAAAGCCTCGCCGGATTGCCTCCTTTAAAAGGGCCAGGCTTCAAACTGTCAGGTGGAAAGGTTGCAAAGGCAATGTGGCGAGGTCTTTCTCTCTTTCAGGGGCATACAACCAGAATAATATTGAGGCCTAAGGAGCTAAGTTCTGCTCAGCAGTGCTGATGTAGCTAGAAAGCTGCTTTATAGCCGCATATTGCTTAGTCATCTGTAATCCAGCTGGCTTAGCTGGCTCTGAGCCTTGCTGGCACAATCGGCCCTGACAATAGCTCTACTGCTTATTCTAACAGATTCATCAGTTAACTGGGAGCACTATGCATCGAATGTAGAACAGGAACGAGCTGTATCTGATCAAGGATTAGCTGAGATAGAGATATAGAAAAATCTTGGAATTAAGCTTATTAATGAAATTGAAGATTAGTAGCACTAGAAGCAAGTTAATCTTGAATCTTCTCCTAGAATACTTCACAATAAACCTTTAACAGCTTTTCCATAAAGTAAAGCCACTTCTTATTACTAATACTTTCAGCAGTAACACTATAATCAGCTCAGAAGCGCTTAATCCAGATTGAAAGAAGCTTTATCCATGCTTCTACTATAGATTAACTATCTCTGATCTTAAGACAAGTAAGAGCATTATCATAGTCTATAATAAACAATTAGAAGCTAGCAGCATTAATAATAAAACAGTTGTTAATAATATTCAGATGCTTCTACTCGGAAATGTATGCTTAAAGATAATCCTAAGAGCGATAAGCAACTAATAATTGCTTTTTCTATTCATCTCAAGTTTTAGCACTTGTAATAAATCTCTCTACTTTTCCAGCAATAATTATATCTGCACAGAAGCTTTTCATGAAGTTGAGTACTTAAGTATTATTAATTCCTTTAATCTAATGCTACTAATCGAATTGCTTTAGCTATAAGAAAACTTCTATACAAGCAAATAATATCAACTTACTACTAGCAAGCTTATTATAGAAGAGGAATCTGAAGTTCTAATTATAGTAATTATTAGCTAGGTAATCAGCTGAACTGAGTATCTGATTGGAAGAGCTCTCAGATATAAAAGCTATCTTCCCTCTTAATTATCGCTTTCTCCAATATTTCTTTGCTTTCCTGATTCGAGATTCTTGAGTTAAGAGCGCTATAGCTGGAATATCTTCCATATCCTGCGGAAAACAATACTGTAGAAGTCAAGAGGGTTCAGATGCTTGAAGGAGATTCAGTCTGTAAGTAGAATATGCATAAGATTTATCTTGTAATAAATAATAAGGAATTGAATTAGCTATTCTATACTATACTGGAATTTTCTTTATTAATAATTCTACTAATTAATAGAAGTATTTCTAACTAGATATAAAATATTGATTAAAATTTGATATTGAATAATATTATTATAATTCTCAACTTTTATTCCTTATATGCATTAACAGTTTCTCATCTTCACTTTCCTGTATCCTTTGCTTTTGGAATAATGCAATCAGTAAGCTTTTAATCCAAAGGATTAATATAGCCAGATATATTCAGATAAAGCATACTGATCAAACTATTGCAAGAAGTACAGATCTTATTAATTATACTACTTTTCTCTGCAAAGTACTATCTATCAAAAGCATTCTACTCTATAATTTAACTATAAACCTATATCTAATATAATTAAACTTTCCGCTGCAGCTTATACAGATCTGAGCTATATTAGCTTCTGTATAGGATTGTTGATTAATATAAGAAATGTTGGAAAAAGGAATTCGTTTCTTTGTAATATTAGCCTGCAGGCTCAATGCATCATTCACCAGCTTACAATTAGAACTTATATCACTCCTCCTCTATTTACCTATCTCCCTTCTATAAGAGATCTCAGGCATAATCCAGAGTTCAAACATAATGTACAGCCTATTGTGTAAGCGTAATAGATAAAGGAAATAAAAGAGCTCAGCAGGGAAAAAGAGTGCGCTCGTTCATAAGGTAAACTTGCTGCTCTTACTGATTCTCACGAACTGTAATGCAAACAGCTCTAAGCTACCAGCTTGAACAGCTAAGTCCATACTCACTGCACTATTGAACCAGAACTAGAGCGCTGTTGCTCTTGAAAGAAAAAGGAATAAACAGCTGCTGAAGCAATGAGCAAGAGCTCGTACAACCCAAGCATGCCTGTGCAGATGAGAACAGCAAACTAAAGCTATACGAGCACAAGAACAGAGTGAAAAACCTGTTTTAGATCTGTTCAAAGGGTTCAAAAATTGAAAAGAAGAGAAAGAATGCTTCATTGTTGCTTATAGCTAAAGAATTTGAAAAGTGAGTAGTATTCTTTATATGTATGAGAACCCTTGACCCACTGTACTCCATGTTCCACAAACTATCACCCTGGCCACCACAACAATATAACTATTACAATTACTAGCAGAATACTCTATTCTGTTTATACTCAAAAAGAATAGCAAGCTCAAGCTATATATTAACTATAAGCAATTTAATAACATTATAATTAAGAACTAATACTCATTGCTACTTATCAAGAAACTATAAAACAGATTGCAAGGAGCATAATAGTTCATAGTTCTGAATCTGAAAGAAGCTTATAATCTGATTAGAGTAAAGAAAGAAGAAGAATGGAAAACTGCTTTTAGAATATGCTATGAATACTACGAATATTTGATTATGCTCTTTAATTTAACAAATGCTCCAGCTTTATTTTAGGAAATGATTAATTATATTCTATGCAAGCATCTGAATCAGTTTATTATTGCCTATCTTAACAATATCCTTATTTACTCTCGAATATTGAAAGAATATAAGAAATATATGAGAATAGTATTGCAAATGCTTCAAGATGCAAAACTTCTTGTAGAACTCGCAAAGAGCTACTTTTATATACAAAAAGTTAACTATCTTGGATTTACAATTAAGCTAGAATGCATCAAGCTACAGAAAGATAAGATAGAAGCTGTTAGGAATTAGCTAGTTTCCAGGAATATTAGAGATATTAAATCTTTTCTTAAATACATTAACTTCTACAAGCAGTTTATTAGAAACTATAGCTAGATTGCATATTCCCTTACAAATCTTACCAAAAAGAAGCAATCTTTCAAATAAATCTTTAAAGCATAAGAAGCTTTTAACGAAATTATCAAGTATATTATCTCAGAGCTAATTCTGTATAAAGCAGATCTCTATAAATCCTTTGAAATTGAAACTAATATATTAGAATATATACTTGGAGAACAACTTAGCTAGCAAAACAATCAAGAATATTTAAGAATTATAAGCAACTTTTCAAAGAAATTAAATAGCTTAGAAATCAACTATAGAATCCCTAATCAGAAACTTATAGCAATAATAAAAGCTTTCGAGAAATAGCAATACTACTTTATTAGCATATAGCGCTTAATCATAGTTCACTCAAATTATAAGAATCTAATTATATTCATAATAATCAAGATTTTGAACAAGCAATAAGTTAGATAAGCAGAATTCCTCTTATAGTTTAACTTCAAGATTGTATACTGCAAAAGCTCAGAAAACGAATAAGCAGATGCTCTTAGCAGAAAATCAGACTATCAAAATGCAGACTTCTCGAATATACAGAACATTTTCGCTCAAAACGAGTTAGAAAATCTCGTTAATATACATAGAGAACTGAACGCTGCTCTTAAAATCGGATTCTCAGAAAAGAATCCAGAATCAATAACTTCAGATGAATAAAATAACTATATCAAGAATATATATAGTGCATCAGCATATGAATATTAGAAAGTTAGAACAACCTATGAATGCATCAAAAAATACTGAAACTTATCAAGCTTTAGAAAAAGAATTAAGAACATCTTATAATAATGCAATAGCTGCAAGAAGAACAAAGCAGAAAGATATAAGCTTTATAAACTACTATACTTTTTATTAGTATTTATAATTATTTAGCAATCTATCAGTTTAAACTTTATTATTAAGCTATCTTTCTTACAAGAACTCTTAATTAAAGTATAATATAATAGCATTCTAGTAGTAGTTTGCAAACTAAGCAAGTATACTTACTTTCTTTTCTATAAGAAAAGCAGTATAGCAGAGAAACTCATATATACATTTCTTAGAATAATTATTGCTAATTACAGCATACTAGAAGAAGTAATCTCTAATAAAAATAGAAAATTCAACTCAAAATTTTGAACTTCATTTATAAAACAGCTCAGAATACATTACAGAATATTCATAGCATTTCATCTGCAAACAGATAAATAGATAGAAAGAATGAATTAAATTATTAAATAATATCTTTGATACTATATCAACTAGGAACAGAATAACTGAATTAATCTATTGCTTCTTGCACAGTTCGCTTATAATAGCACAGATATAAGCATAATAAAGAAATTACTATTCTTCATACTCTACAGATACAATCCAACAGCTTATTATAAAGCACTGCTAGAAGCAAATATAGAAGCTGCAAACAAGAGAATCAAGAAGATTAAGAAAGTTCAGAAGAAACTCTAGTTAGAACTACAATTTATTCAGAAACAAATAGTATAATATACAAACTTTAAAAGAATTAAAAAATCAATTCTATAAAAAAAAGATAAGATCTATCTACTTCGAAAAAATATTAAAATAATCAAATCCAGTAACAAATTTAACTATAAGAAGTTAGAATTATTCAAAATCTTGCAACAGATTTCTCCAATTAACTACAAGTTAGCATTATCTCATGAAATGAGAATATATCCGGTTTTCCATATCTTACTACTAAGATCAGCAGTATAGGAAAT